ACACACACACACACACACACACACACACACACACACACACACACACAGGTAAAATCAAAGAGAAAGCCTTGGAGCCACTGTCCTTCCTGACTGTCACTGCTCATAGCTTAACTGAACACCACAGGACTCCCTGGAGATGCAAGAGACCAGGGTGAGACCCCATAGCTAGAGGGGAGGCAGCAAGCAGAGCAAATGCTGCATTCGGTGTGAGAAGTGCATGAATCCCCCAGGATGGGCAAGGGCAGCCACGGCAATGATAATGACATTGATTCTGCCAGGTGGCCATCATCACAAGTGTGGCATCCATCCACACGGCCACTCCACAAGGCAGGCACGCGAGCTCATTTCATAGAAGCAAGTATATCCACGTGGAAGGGTGGGGAAGGCTTTGCAAACATGAAAAAATGAGAAAAAGAAGAGTCCATTTCTGGCAGGAGAGATCCAGGAAGCAGAGTCTTGACCAAGGTGAGCCAGAGAGGGACTTACATCCACTGTGAACACAAAAGGTTGTTACTCAGTTAGGGGGGTTCCCCCTCTTAGGTGCTAATGTAACTCATCCTCAGAACCACCATAAGAGGTCAGGGTTTAAACTTGGAAACATACAAAGCTGTGCTTACTGCTGCTGCATCCTCCCGTAGGCACAGGACCCAGGGACAGCCAGCCTGGAAGTTTTTGGCGCAGAGAATTAGTTGGATCTAGATGATGTTTGGCGAGTGATGGGGCGCTGGTATGAGTCCTAGGATTCCTCAATTGCCCAAGTGTTGCATGCCTTTTTCTGGGGTGATGTGGACAAGTGTCTGTGTACCCCAGGTGGGCCACCAACAATGAACTAAAGAAATGATTCCATTTCCAATGTAAATTAGTGAACCAAAGAGTATGGGGTTACTTACAGGAGCATGGTTGACTCAAAGACCTCAATAAACAGCCCAACTGAGAGTGAGCAATGACTCAAGAAAGCTGTGTCCCTGGAGCTCCCTGAACAACTTGGGCATATTGAAGAGTCTCCTCTTCCCAGCAGTGAATGCTGCTTCTAGAACCCTGGGCAGGTACCTTGTGAATCCTGTAGGTTTCAGGAACCCCGTGAGACCTATGATTTGTATTGACTTCCCAAGCCTTGTAAGTCTAGAGGCCTGGGCAAGTGCCTTGTGAATCCTGTAGGTTTCAGGAACCCTCTGAGACCTGTGACTTGTGTTCACTTCTTGAGCTTGTAAGTTTAATTTCCTTTCTGGGTCTTAAGGAGCCTCCCTGCCACAGGGACAAATGTTTTAGTTAGAAGGAAACAGCTACACCCCACCAAATCCGAGAGTGTTCCCTTCTCCTCCAGACAGAAGTCATCCGGAAGCGTCTCCACAAAGATATTCCCCACCACTCGGTCATCATGCTCAACTTCTGCCCTGACCTCCAGTCTGTGCAGCCCAACCTGAGAAAGACCCACGGGGAGTTCATCTTTCTCATCGACAGGAGCAGCAGCATGAGCAGGACCAGCATCCAGTGCGTCAAGGTACCGTGTGTGGGACCCTGTCCCCGGGAGCCAGAGCTCCAGTCGGTCGGCTGCACTCCCTTCTGCCTGGCTTCCCAAGGACTTTCTGTTCTAAGATGTCACTTGTTCAAAATCAGTTTAAGCAGAGACACCTAAACTCAATTTGTTCCCAAAATAAACCCTTGAAGTGATGAAAACAGAACCCGAGAAACTCTCCATTTGCAAGGCATGAGGGCCTTCACTTTCTGCAAACTTATGCTGTAAGCCTGCGCTGGGTAAGCACTCTGCTAGGTCCTGAGTGGGAAGGGGCATGGGTGGTGGTGGGGTGCTGGGAGCCTGGAATGTGTGGGATAACGGGCTAGCCCCTCAAAGTGCATCTTGGTTTATAATCCAAGTATCCTAAGAGAGTGCACCTCTTGTCACAGACTCCATATGAAGAGACAGTTCTTGAGAGTTGTGGTCACCTACCCACAACCTGTGATCAAACTAGTGACTGCTCAACTGCCCCCCCACCCCACCTGACATCACAGAGTCACTAGTCGTGGCCCCTATAAGTAGAACCCGAGAGAAAAGATTGGATGTGCTCTGGGTAGGTAGCCAACTCAGTAAAGTGCTTGGAAGGACTAGAATTAGATTCTCGGAATTCACGTCTAAAAAAAGTCTCCGGGTGTGGTGGTGCGCACTTGTAATCTCAACACCGGGAGACAGAGACGGGTGGACCCGTGTGGCTCCCTGGACCGTCAACCTAGCAAGCCAGTTCCCGTTAAGTGGTAGACCTTGAGAACAGCACCCCAGGTTGTCATCTGGTTTCCACGGGTATATGCACACATGTGTGCATGCATGTGTGCACACATACGAGAGCATGCACACACACACACACAAATAAAAACATATATTCTTTCTCCCAAATGACTGAGGGTGGACAAAGCCATCTTAGGAAGAGAGAAAAAAAAAAAAAAACAAGACGCTAACATAGTCAGTACCACATAGAGCTCACAGTCAAGTGTGGTGTGGCTTAATAGCCAGTCAGAAGGCCTGGGAGTTTGATTTTTGTCTCCCTGTTTCAGAAGCTCCAGAAAAACAAATACAAAAGAAGAGCCTTCCTTAACCACCACAACTCCCCTCTTCCCTGCCAGGAAATCATTAAGCTTGTTATGGAATTATCCAATGTTCCCTTTTATTGTGACTTCTGCAGGTGTCTGTCTCCCCATCTGGAGTTATGAACTCATTAAGGGGAAAAAAAACTATCACGTCCTCATCTGTCCCCATGTGGCCTAGCTCTGTACTTCTACGTAAAATACCCTCATTCTATTTATTGGATTGAGGGATGGATTGTAGCTCGGGAGAATGAGAGAAGGGGAACCAGAAGAAAATGGGCTCTCCTGACACCATCCTTCCCTTTTACCTTACCCAGGGGGCGGAGGCAAGCTCTTGTTTCCAGAGCAACAGACTCAACAAGGAGAGGAGAACATAGGTGGAATCCACAAGGCCAGAAATCTCCTACTCCCCTTAGTTCCTCCGCATCTTGAATAAGGTCAGAAGCATCATAGATGAGAGCCAAGAGCCTTCTGGAGGCATCCTGACACACGGATGTGAGATTCAGGAGTTCCTTCTCCTACCCCTGTCTGCCACTGGAGGTGGAGGCGAGCTGGGAGCTGTCCAGGCTTTCTGGAGTGCTGAAGTATACTTGTAGATAGTGTGGCTCTCTAGATCCCCTTCCATACCCACATCGTGTAAAAAAAGTCCCAGCATTAGAAACCCAAAACAGTCTTTGGAAAGCATTCCATACCCTGTCCCTCTTTTCTGGGGTAAGGAAACTGAATCCTTAACGGGTGAAATGCTTAACCAAGTATCACGCAGCTGATGGAGGAGCTGAGCCTTCCAGATCTGTGCCCATTTTTCATGTGCTGCTTAGGAGAAGCGATCCATGTCACCCGGTTTTACACAGCTCTCTTGTTTATGTCATTTCTGCTGCATGGCATGGTTGAAGGAGCAATCCCAGGGTCCAGAATTGATTCTGTCACAATTGCTATGTGGCTTTAGACAAACTGATTCTCAGCTGTAGACTTCATTCATCTTTTCTATGAGCTGAGAAGAAAGGAGTGATTCAGGGAGGTCAATTGTATGTCGTATGGCCCTCTGCTTCCTGCTCCTCAGCCCACGGAGCCATCAGTAATTGATCCTGACCCTTCCCTGCCACCCCACCCCCACCCCTGCTAAGCCTGGACTGTATCTCTGCCTTCTCCTCTTGCAACCACTCCAGGCAGTTGCTGTCGTTCAAATGAAATTGTTTATGAGCAGAAATCCGCTTCCTGAGCCGCAGCCCTCTCCACCGTTGCCACTTCAGAAATCTCCGACAGGGACTTTCTCTAGTCCGTCCTTCGGTCCCCTTTCCCCGTGGAGTCTCCCTCTTGCTTTTTTCTAGTTCCATTCTCTGGGTTCAAGGTCATCCCTTCACAAATGGCTCTGGGCCGGTGCAGTCCACTCAGCTAAGCATGACCCTTTCAGATAAAGGCACAGAGATTACTCAGGGAAAGCCTTGCCAAGGATAAGGCTGGTGGGGGGTGGGCTGGGAATGTTTGAGTCATTCATCATGGTCCATTGGGTAGAACTTTTAGGGAACGCAAGGCTGAGGGAGGAGGGGAAGAGTAGAAATCCAAACAGCCCACGCCAAAGGGGAAAGTTCAGGCAATTTAATTTCCGGCAGCTGGCCTCATTCTTCAGCTGCCACTTGCTGCCAAAAGCAGGGCTTTAAAAAAAATTAAAAATTCTAATAGGTGTGAGTCGAGGCGATCCGTATGGGTCAGCAGAGCCTCCTGCCAGCAGGAATCTGCATTAGTGGCCAATGAAAAAAAGCAGATATTGACTTCTTTCGTAGAGACACAAAATGTATTGACACAGGCTGTGCAGAGAGGCAGTGGGGACATTAATGGAAGCATTTAATGTGAGTGTTTGCAGAAGGGGACAGAAGAGGGCTGCAGGGCTGTGGCGCTTAGCCAGTCAGATGATGTGGCAATTGCCGGAATCAACTGGCAATGTTTGCTTCTATGTTCTAGAGTATTACGGTCTATTTCTCTGAAACTATGCTGAGATGCCAGGGAATGGGGAGTATAAACATACTATATGGAGGAAAAGGGGAGACCTTTCATTTCTGCCTCTGGGCTGAGGCACAGCCAACACAAATGAAGACTTCAGAGCTGTATTGGGGCATTTTTTTTTCTTTTGATTTGATTTATTTTGTGGACATTCTCGGGGGGGGGGGGTGCCAGAGAACAACTTGTGGTGTTCACGTCTCTCCTTCCACCATGTGGGTCCTAGGGATTAGCAGCAGGTGCCATCTCGCCAAACCTGGAGCTGGGTTTGTGAACGTCAAAGCCAGATGCCCAGGTTTTATGACCCAGAACAAAGCCTCGGCTTTCCTCAGCCTCCACCGTTTCCCTACAAACTAGGGACGTTGGTACTCACACAGCTCCACTTATGGCTTCCTCTGTGCCGTGCTGGGGCTCAGGCAGACCCAAAGTCAAGTGAATAATGGGAAGGTGGGGTTTCCACTTGAAGCTGCCTCCCTGGCAGCTCTCTACTGTGTGATAGCGTCTCTACTCTGTGTGATAGCGTCGGAATGTGGTGGTTAACTGAGGTTGTCTAACATTGCGCCTCCCACCACAGCAGCTGGGTATTGATTACTGATCATTACTCTTGCCAGTCTTCCTTCCCTGTCACTTCTGCTGCTTTCCTTCCTTGCTAGATTCTGGTATACAATTGAGATACACATGTAGCCCAGTCTGGCTTGGAAGTTCCTACATAGCTCAGGCTACCCATGAGCTAGTAATTCCCCTACCTCCAAATCCCCAGTGCTGAGATTTGAGCCACCATATCCAACCTCATTGATTTCTTCTTATTTTCTCTCTCTTTTCTTCCTTCCTTTCTTCTGTCCTTCTTTCCTTTCATGTGTGTGTGTGTGCACATGTGTGTGTGTGTTGCATGTATGTGAGAATGCAAGTTCATGCATCCGTGCTCATGCATGTAGAAACCAGAGAGAATATTGGGTATCTTTCCTCTATTATTCTCTACCTTGTGCCTTTAATATGGGCTATCTCCCTGAACCTGAAACTCACCTTTCCAACTAGGTTGGCTGATCAGCCGGTTCTCATGATCCACCTGTCTCCCACAATTGCTAGGGTTACATGTATCCACAGCCATGCTCAGCTTATTCTTTGGGTGCTGGGGATTTGAACTTGGGCCCTCATATTTGCAGAGAAAATACTTGCACTCCCTCCATCCCCACACCATTATACTTAGCACCTTTACCAAGGTCTCCTGGTGGTGCACATTTACAGAAGATAGGGACGCTAAGGTTCAGACTCAGGAGGTCAAGAGACGTGCTTGAATCCTTGCTGCACTGTTTACTAGCTGGATGCTCACCCAATCATTTGTCCTCTCTGAAGAATGGGGATAACAATGGGCCTGTTGCTGAGGCTGATCAGCAAGGCAGCACACTTGAAGTACACCATTTGCATCTAATAAATATGGGTTAAAGGGACCTCCTTGGGGATCTGTCACCAGTAATAGGATGATGTTGATGCAGGGGTCTTGGATGAGCGTCAACAATGTGACCTTCCCTCAATGTCAAGTTGGCTTTGGCAGAGGGGAATGGGCAGACCCTGCTGTTCCCGCCTCTCATGGTCAGCAAGAGGTGATGGGGACTCCGAGGCCATTGCACAGTGGTTATGATGAGTCAGTCCTGCTGTATGGATATCAGTCACATGCTGATAGCTTTAATGGATCAGTCTCTGGTCAGGAGTGACAGATTTTAAGATACATAGAGAAGGAGTGTTGGGTGCAAGTAGGGTGACAGGTCCCTATAGAGGTGGCTCCGTGCTGGAAATGGCAGCATTGGTGTGTGGTGACAGAGTAGCAGTAGCCCCTGCTGAATTCTGAGAATCCCTTTTCTTGCCTGGCAGGAGGCCATGTTGGTGGCTCTTAAGAGCCTCATGCCGGCCTGTCTCTTCAATGTCGTTGGGTTTGGATCCACATTTAAGACCGTCTTTGCTTCCAGTCAGATCTATAATGAGGTAAGGAGAGGTAAATCTGGACCTGGGTGGATGATGGGCAGTGGGGAGCAGGAAGGGGAAGGGAACAGCAAAGGGGTCACACTGGGGACAGCCTCAGAAGCTGCCTGCCTGAGGCTTGCTGGTGCCTTCAGAAGTCTTCTGCCCCTTACAGTAAAGCCTGTGAGATCATGGACATGGAGAGTGGGGACAGAGGATAGGGACACATCTGCCATGCCCATGGCCTGCCACCCGCCACAGCCCCTATCTCTGAGGATCATGGGTTCATCCAAGGCTGAGCTCCAGAAATGAATGGCAGCAGACAGAAGAACAATTAAATGGCCAAATGGCTTTAAAAGTGGTTGTGGGGTCCTTACAAGGCGAAAGCTTAGCTGCTGTTGGAACAAAAGGACTCTGGCCCCAGCAGCAAAACTGGGGTAGTCTATCCAGGGCTGAGAAGTTAGGGGAAGGGCAGACAGAGTGAGGAAGGAGGAAGGAGAACAGCAGTGGCTAATTACTACTAAAAGTAAAGGATGGATTTTTAAAATAAAAGAGAAATACACGTTAAACCAGGGATAGTGGCACATATCTGCAGTCCAAGCACTGGGAAAGTGGGAGCAGGGGATCGGGAGTTCAAGGTCAGCCTCAGTTACACGATGAGTTTCAGGTTAGCTTGGGCTACATGACACCCTGTCTCAAACAAGCAAGCATAACAATGCCTTTGATTACTACTTTTTAGATCTAAATAATCAAAAGGAAAAAATGTTTGACTTTCCCTTGATACCATCAGTCAGACAAAAACAAAAATGATAAGGAAAAGTGATATTTCCAGGTCACCTTCTGTGAGTTTACACACATTTTCAAGACAGGGACTAGGTCTTCCACACTGGGACACGACCTACTTTCCGAGTCTATCAGGAACATATTTTCATGCCAAATAAATCCCATCTGTGACATCATTTTAATGACTGCCTGCCCATGGCACAGACAGAATGGGATTGATTTGTTTACAAAGCCTGGAAGCTGGCCTTTCCATGGCCTCCATGTTTTTCTACTTAGTTTTGCTTATGGATTTCCGATGCATCTTTGTCTGTCTCCTGGGATGAATTCAAAGCTATGTCTTCATCATAAGACTTGATATTGACAATATTGACCATTACTATTATTTTTTTAAGATGAGGTTTTGCATCATCTAGGGAGACTCTAACTCACATGTAGTTAAGGATGATCTTGATGTTCTGGTTCTCCTGCCTCCACCTCTGGAGCAGATTTCAGGCATGCCCCACAACAGCTTGCTCATATGGGGCTGAGAGTGGAACCCAGGGCTTGCCTGTACACTGCCAACGAACCACACCCCCAACTTCAGTATTGACCATTCCTTCTAAGTCCCTCCAAACATGGATGTAGGAAGAGAATCTTCCTGAGCCAGGGGCGGGAGATTGAATCCAGAGGAAATCAACCCCTACTGCAATGCCATCTGTCTGATGGCCATAATACTTGGTGAGCCGGTTCCCACAGGTCGGTCCAGGAGGGATGGGATCCGGAGCCCAAGCTGGGAAGCAATTGTCTTCTCAAACTGTCATGGGAGTCGGTGTCAGAGTCGTATTCAGTGTTCACGTCTGGGGATGCGCAGTACTGTGCTCTCTCCTCCGTGTCCCTTGGTTCCCTTACCAGGCAGGAAGATTACTTGTACTGAGCAGTTAAGAGGTCAAAAATTCCACATTTTTTCTGGGGGTGCTTATATCCCTAAAGAAGAATGCAGAGAGGACAATATTGTCATTATTCTGCAAATGGTGACATTTCAAGACATTGACAGGGGATGAATTTCATCAGTGGCTGATAATTTTCTGAATGGGAGGACAGGAGTATAGGCTGAACTAAGAGCTAGAGAAGAGAGTTCATCCTCAGGAGGCACGCGGTGAACCTAGGGCCTGTCTGCCCTGCCATGGTCCTTCCCTGCAGGCGAACTTGGCCAAGGCATGTGACTGCATCCAAAGAATACGGGCTGACATGGGCAGCACCAACATCCTCTCCCCTCTCAAGTGGATCCTGCGGCAGCCAGTACACCAGGGCCACCCGAGGCTACTCTTCCTGGTTACTGATGGGGCTGTGAGCAACACAGGGAAGGTTCTGGAGCTGGTGCGGAATCACGCCTTTTCTACCAGGTCAGCCCAACCTGCGGGTCTAGGGTCTGATTACCCCAGGCTGCCTGAGTTTGGGGGAACCCAAATGAGGGCAAATTTTCACTGTTCCAGAGGGAGAGAATAGTACCTACACCTCCCAGAATGCCTTGTTTTCAGGATGCTGAGAGGAGATGCTGTCTATGTTTGCCTTCTCTCTCTCTCTCTCTCTCTCTCTCTCTCTCTCTCTCTCTCTCTCTCTCTCTGGGGTATGAGTTGTCCACAGCTCAGCAACTAGAGACTACTGCCAGTGCTGACTGGGAGTTGGTTGTAGTGTGTGTGTGTGTGTGTGTGTGTGTGTGTCCATGATAACTCCTCTTTCTCCCCAGGATTTTACCTGAGGACAGAGCCATCTCTAAGCTGCCTCTGCTGGACTATGCTCTGTCTCTTAGTCCACTGGGGACAATGACCCAGAGCTACCTTCCCGTCCCTGTTCTCCAGGTGCTACAGTTTTGGGCTTGGACCCAGTGTCTGCTACAGACTGGTGAAAGGACTGGCGTCCGTATCCAAGGGCAGTGCGGAGTTCCTGTCAGAGGGGGAGCGGCTGCAACCAAAGGTACACTGAAGGACCTCTAGCATCTCCCAGTACTGCAGCTTCAGCAGCCCAGACAGGCTCAAAGCTCAGCTCTATGCTGGGCCGTTGAGCTCACCACAGCCACACTTTGACCCTCTGGTTTTCTCCTTTATAAAATGTTAAACTCAGAGATGATGGCCAAGATCCATTCCAAGAACCTAGAGAGTTCAGAGGTGTGTCCACTGCCGGTGTGTCCACTGCTGGGTCAGCTGCCCCAAGCCTGCTGTGCCTTCCCCCCCTCAAGCTCACTCTCTCACCATCTTTTTGTCTCCTCACCTCTCCTCATCCTCCGCACTCATCATCCACCCTCTTCTGACGCTCAGATGATCAAATCCTTGAAGAAGGCCATGGCGCCAGTGCTGAGCGACGTGACCGTGGAGTGGGTCTTCCCTGAGACCACAGAGGTCCTGATCTCACCTGTTAGCACCAGCTCCCTCTTCCCTGGAGAACGTCTGATGGGCTACGGCATCGTATGCGACGCCTCCTTGTACATTTCCAATTCCAGTCCCGTAAGTACCTCAGACATGTGGGAGACTGTCTGCGGAGCTGCCTCCTGGCCCCTCTCCAAATGCTCATCGTGGCTGGTTTTTAAGGAGTTACAAACTCCATGCCTAAGGTAGCTAAGTAGGAAATGACCTTAGTATATTAAAACACAAGAGCCAGGGGCATGGTTCAGTCAGCAGAGGGCTTGCCACGCTAGCAAGAGGACCTGAGTTCAATCTCCTGTGTAGAAATGCCAAGTACAGTGACATGCACTTGTCTTCTGGCCATCACATGTATGTGTGTACATGTGCACCCATGACCACGGGGACATACATGCTCACTTACTTGTAAAGTAGACATGTATTAAAATGAAAATGAAAGAGGGAAGCCATGAAGAAGAGCAGCCATGGCTGAACTCCTAGTTAAGGCCAAAGGAGCAGGGGGAACTGTCCAGCTGCCTAGGGTTCACCTGACTAGACCAGAAAGCCTCCATTCATGGTACTGAAATGTTTCTGTACTGGGACACAGGCCATGTATTGAATGTGCTTATAAAAATAATTGGAATGCTATACGAAATGTCCAGAATTTTTAATGGTTCATATGAATGTTTTATAGAAGGTGGACTGTTCAATTACACAGAGAAAATTGTAAACAAAATACTGGCCACGTTTCTTTTTGTCCCCCACATTTCTTTTTCACGGTCCATGTTTTATTTAATTTTAATTATACTTGGATTCTTGCAAGACACTAGATTATCAATACACATTCCTATAGAGGGACCCAACCAAGTCATCAGTTCCTCCTCTTAGACTGGAGAAATAGTTCCGGCAAGGTAAAGTGTCTGCCTCACAAATGTGAGAATGGGATTTCACCCTGGAACCTACATACTTGGAAAGCACTGTAGCACCTGCTTGTAACCCCAGAGCTGGGAGGTGGCGGCAGGAGGATCCATCCCTAGGGCTGGTTGGCCAGGCCTTGAGCCTAATGACAAACTCACAATGCTGAAAGACCCTGTCTCAAGGAGGTAGACAGTGATAAGCATTGTTGGGGATGACACCCAAGGTTGTCTCCTCTGGTTCCACACATAGACCCACACATGTACATTTTCATGGATATGAACAGACATATGAACATGCACACACACACACACACACACACACACACACACACACACACTGTTTTTCCAAGTTCTGTGTTTTTCTCCCGTGAGACTGACCATGTTGTCTCCTGCTATCGGCAGATGTCAGATAAACATCACCTTCATCTGCTGTGGATGTAAATGAGACTGGACATTACCCTCCTGGAAGGTCATCAAGAAATAACTCGTGAAATCAGAATTGCACAACTCTTCCAATCCAGAAATGTCACTCCTAGGTTGCTGCCCCAGAGATGACCACAGGTCATACGGTAGTAAAGGCAAACAGTCATGAAGCAAGTGTTTCACAACGAAAGGCAGCAGAATATTAGACAACCAGATGTTAGAGACAGTGATTAGCAGAAAGAATGCTTTAAGTACAAAGTTCAAGATACTAATAAATGCTTATGGTCTGGTTTTTGTAAAATAAAGCATGACCTCCCAAAGTGTGAACTGTGTGTGTGTGTGTGTGTGCGTGTGTGTGTGTGCGTGTGTGTATGTGTGTGCGTGTGTGTGTGTATGTGTGTGTGCGTGTGTGTGTGTATGTGTGTGTGCGTGTGTGTGTGTATGTGTGTGTGCGTGTGTGCGTTTCATGAAGAGTAAAATGAAAGGACACATGGTTTATCTATTAGGAAACAAGAATGAAATTTAGAATTACATTTTTAATTTTTTTCAAAAAACAATGATTAAATATTATCATAATATAAGAAGAAATTCTGTTCTCTCTCTCTCTCTCTCTCTCATTTTTGTTTTTATGTTGTGTTGTTGAGACAGACTTGTACTTTGTAGCCCAGGCTGGCCTGGAACTTGCTATGTGGCTCAGGCTAGCCTTGTACCACAGTTCCTGAGTGCTGGGATCAGTCGTGAGTCACCATATCCAGCTCCATGCTTACCATCTCTTGATCAGAAATTTACCTTAGTTCTCCAAACAAACCAGCAGGCACTCCTTCCTTATTCGGCTAGGTTCTCAGAGGTGGACACCTACCTGAATCCCCCTCACACCCTTTGCTGCCCACGGAGGTCCTTACTGAATCTAACTTTGCTCTCTCCCGTCTTTCCTCTCCTGTCTCCAGGACAAAAGGCGAAAGTACGGCATGCTGCAAGCTCAGGAGTCCAGCAGCTCGGTTTTCTATCACTCTCAGGATGAGGGACTTGGCCCGGGCAGTGGGAACTGTGCCAAAATCTTCAACCCAGGGCAGACCCAAGATGCCCATCCGTGCAATGGAGACTCCCCCCGCCTTCACGGTTGGTCCTCTGCGTTCTGCTCTGCTATGTTCTCTTTTCCTCGGAAGTGGTAATGATTGCTACCTTATATTGACCAGTTACTATGCGTTAAGCATTTGATAAAAAACCATCTCTGGGACCAGTAGCAACTTTGTGTGTGACTACAATGATCCCACAGTACAGACCAGTTAGCAGCTATGAGTGTGGACATGTTATTACCCACGGAACAGGCTAGGAGACAGAGACTGCAGAATATCAGCAACTGGCTAAGTTCTTGGATACTAAAGAGGGGGTCAACCCAGACCTATGTGCCTTTGTAGAGTCTGATGCCATTTTCAAAAAGCATTTACTGATTATTTGTGGTGGTGGGGGGGGGGGGTGAGTAGGACGGCTCTCACCTGGCACATGCCCTCCAAGATCCCCCCTTTTAGACACAAACGCACAATTGACCTTAACTCTGATAAAGCAGAGGAACAGAGACCACAACTGTGGTGACCCCAGGGAGAGCAGAGCATATCTGCCTAAGATCACAGACGACTGAGGATGGGTTCTTAGTCGTGGAAAGGGAGAGGAAGTGCCTGGGAGCAGAAGCACTCAAGCAAAGCCATGGAGGCATAGCACATAGACAGCACTGGCCATTGGCCACTCATCTATTCCAGGGTCCTCTGACCCCTCAGCATCTCTAAAGGGGACAGGAGGGAGCGGGGAGATGGCTCGCTGGGTAAAGTGCTGGTTGAGCAAGCATGGGAAAGCGAGTCTGGATCCCTAGCATAAAGCCCACTATTGAGAGGATGCAGGAGGATCCAGGGGCATGCTGGTCAACCTAGCTCCTCAGCAAGCTCCAGTCAGTGGGGCGTCCTGCTCACCTTGGCAGCACATGGACTGAAATTAGCAGGATGTGGGGGAGATTAGCATGGCCCCTGCACACAGGTGACAGGAAAATACATGACGCATTCCATAGCATTAAATAAGTTCAACATGAAATAAGTGCAAATAAAAGTAAAAATCCTAAGATTGGGGCCAGGGAAACAGCTTAGGGAATCAAATCCTTACCACGCCAGCAAGGGGGCCAGAGGCTGGCTCCACAGAACCCATCTAAAATGAGTTGAGTGCAAAACAACTGGGGAAGATTCCTGACATCAACTTTGGGTCCTGCCTACACACAAGTGCCCAACTATCCACACATATACATATAACACACCACATACACCACACGCACACACACACACACACACACACACATGAATGCATGAACACTACACAGACATACACACACAATTTTTTTTAATTTTATGATTTATTTGTCTTTTATTTTATGTGCATTGGTGTGAAGGTGTCAGATTCCCTGGAACTGGATTTTCAGGCAGTTGTGAGCTGCCATGTGGGTGCTGGGAATTGAACCCGGGTCCTCTGGAAGAGCAGTCAGTGCTCTTAACCGCTGAGCCATTTCTCCAGCCCCCCCCCCACAACACAATTAAAAAAAAAACCCAAAGTGGACAGCAATAGAGAAAGAAACCTCACGTGGATCACAAGCATGCATGTGTGTGCACGCACACACGAGAGCACACATATACATGAGGAAGAGGACAGAGAGGACAGAGGGAACAGTTATGAGAAGCTAGACCAGGACCAGACCTGGCCAGGCTTTGGATGCTAACTGAGACACGTGCACGTATTTCTGTAAGAAAACGGGAACTTAAGACATTTCAAACAGGAAAGTGGCATGTTAATCCCTTTCTTTCCCCGCTACCCTCCACCCTGATAACACCCCCTCTTACTACCCTTGTCCAGGTCTGGATGTCTCCCGGCGACGGAGGGCGTACAGCACCAACCAGATCTCTAGCCAGAAGACCAGCCCAAGGCCCACCACAGCCAGCGACCCCACTGGGATTGCCAAGAGACACCCACTGCGAAAAGCCAAGGTGCAGGACCTTGCCAGTCAGAGCAGCTCAGAGAACCAGCGGTGGCGTATTGATCTGCAGGTACCTAAGCAGGGCTGGGTGGGAGGGGCTGAGAGGAGTTTGGTTTGGCTCTGGCTAACACAAAACAACAAAGATGGAGCGTTTATCAACACAAGAACACGGAGTATCGGGTAGAATGCAGAATCCAGATCCAACTAAGGCCAAGCTTCCTGTTGATGTTAGTTTTCATATACATCGATGACCCCTCAGACTGGTCATCTCTGGCTTGGTGAGCTTGTCCGAGCCCTGTACACAGCACTTCCCATTGGCACAGGACACCTCTCATTAAGTTTTATGATACCTGGGAGAGGAGGGAGTTTGGAGACCATCCACCCTCACTTGGTACAGATGTGGCAACTGAAGGTCAGAGAAGGGAGCCAACTTACCCAGAACCACACAGTGGATTTGACCAGGACACCCTGGCCCTGGATTCTTGCTTTCCTCCTTCACCCTGCTGGTCCTTCCATGACTGGGCCACCACAGGAAAGGTGACCAGTGTCCTGTTAGGTCATCCCTCAACAACCACAGCATCATTGCCGTCAAGGCTCTGCCGTAGGGGCTGGTCCTGGACATGATAGAATATCTCTGGGGTCAGGGGGATACATCCATCTACTTGAGACCGCTATGCCAAACCACATCATGACTTAAGAATTCTCTTCAGGACAGAATTCATTTGTCCTAAGCATGTGGGCCCAAGCAGCTTCCCACTTCCCCGCCACGTTCTCTCCCAATCTCGACATATGCACGGGCCACACACCACCTGGCCCCTGGGGACTCTCCAGGCTTCTCCAGGGACCCTCAATGTACTTGGTACGCGATAGTCTCAGAGTTAGGCGTTCCTCTTATACATTTCTGAACCCCTCTGAGCCCCACTGCCTAAGATGGGGTGAGTGTAGATGGTGACCCACCATCCGCTAGTGGATACAGAGTGGAAGCAGACCCCAGACGGAGGAGGCTTCCAGGCTTTAGGGGATGCAGGGTCCAGTACCGGCCCAATGCCTGGCTGTAGCCTGTGTTCCTCGATGGCAGCTCTACTCACTGAGTGCTCCAGGCAAGCTAATTCTTTTCTTCCTCCCATCCAGTTCCGTCTCTTTCTCCTCTCCTGACTTTCTGGGGAGATCGTGTCTCTCCCCGGCACTCCACTCCATGTATGAAGATTCCCCAGAGTCTCTGGCTGGGGAAAAGTTAGCCGGTAGATGCTTCTGTTACCATGGAAACTGTAGCAGAGTCCATTTCTCTCTGACCCAGTATGGGTGGTGGTGAGGTCAGGAGAGAATATCTCAGTGGAGGAGTGAGGGAGTCATAACTGGGCACCTACCCTCCCAGAGGTACCCTAAAGGTGGCCACTCTCCTTTCTTTCCATGCTTCGAACCATAGAGACAGGAAGACAGCCCTTTTGTGGGAGGCACGTGTCAATAAAAATGCATACTTAATAGTGTGAAGAGACCCCCGAGGTTTACTGATATCCCCCCAAATTACATGACGCCTGCTAAGGGGTTTTGTCTTCTCATCTTGTTCTCCAGCCAGGTCATATGTATGGTCTAAGAAACTGGAAATTCATTTTAGCTTAGTATTCTCCCCTCACAAAAGTCATCCGAACTACACCACATTTGGGATTAAACCTTTCAAACGGTTCCGCTGGGTATAAAGTACAAATAAAGTCTTCCTCCCAACACCAACGCGCACTTGGTTCTGAGTACGTCTTTCTAGAAATACCATGTGCACACACGTATACGCAGAGCGCAGGCATATTTTAATAGCTGCTTATGCAAACTCCCCCCAACATAGTGCCTCGGTGCTTTTTAAAAATACATTTTTATCACATTTGTTTCCGCTGTGTACACATTTGGGTGGGCGAGTGGGCGTGCATGCGTCTGCTCCCATGTGGAGGTTAGAGGGAGAATGTCTAGGAGTCAAACTCTGGGTGTTAGGGTTGGTGGCAAGTAGCTCTGCCAGCCGAGACATCTCGCTGACTCTCTTAATGGCTTCCGGATTCATGTTTGTATACAGTAAAATCACTCTTTTGGTTGAACAATTCTCTGAGGCTGACAATCGCCAACTTTACTCTTTGTTACCACTGAGATACAGATCTGTCATAATGCAATATTTAAGGTAATTTTTCTCAACTACCTTCTCACAGGAGTGTGAGGAAATCTTTCTATTCAGTATTGTGAGGTCCTCCATTACATGGATATACTATAACTCACTCTTCCATACTAACAGAGATGTAGTTTCCAGAAGGTTTTTTTTTTTTAAGTCAGGGTGCCACCGGCTGGCCTGGAACTCACTGTGTAGACCAAGCTGGCTTCAGACTCACAGAGGCCTGCTTTCCTTGCCTCCTAAGTGATAAGGTTAAAGGCATTGCCACCTCTACTCAGATTATCAACACTGCAACAAATACATACACAAGGCTTGGCCAGAGACCCTGGCACCCCCAATGATTTCCACAAGGTTGAATCTGTAAACATAAAATTGCTGTCTCAGGTATCCCATGGATTTCAGCTGGTGATAGGCAGCCCATGGTCCCAGTTTGTACCCCCGCCACTCCCAATTATCATCCATAAGAGACCCTGCCGCATCGCGACCAAACATTTAGATATTTACCGATCTCCAATATGGACAAAGGTAGCTTTTTTTTAACTGCCATGGCTCTAGATACGCCTGCTTCACTTACTGGTGTATTCGATTCACACCGCTGTGGATGAACACCCTCACTATTCTAATTTTGTCTTTTCCCTCCAATTATATGTGATTTTTTTTTCTTTTACAGACCCAGGTAAGGACAATTGTTTACTGAGTACACTGGAAGAGGGCAAATGGGCTGGGCAGTAGGTACAGTGCCACCTGCCCCTTAGGGCAATGATGCACTAGGCAAGGGGATGGGGTGTCTTCCTGTGTTTGGAAGAAGTCTCCTTGTGTGAAGCTTCTGAGCAGATAGTTTGTGTCATGAGGAGGAGGGCAGTTCTGATTGACTGGTGAATGATGCTAGGATCTTAGCATGAGTCACCATGGATACCATCCAGGCGTATAGTCAGTCTCTGTCATGCAAATCAGAGCAGCCCTGGTCCAAGGCTAAAGTTACCTGGCACTGGGGTGCAGTTCTCTGGGGTCACATCAGCCTGATGTGCTGTCCTGTCATGATCCCTGAGTCCCATTGTGTGTCCTCTGACCACATATGCTCAGTGGCATGACTTCACACACAAACACACATGGTAAGGAAATGAAAGTGCATTTTTTAACAAACACATGCATTTACAGAAGTCAGGGGTTGGGTGGGGCCTAGCCTAGAGGATCCTGAATTCTCAGGAAACCCAAGAAATACCAAGAGCATTTCCAGAAAGAAAGAAAGAAAGAAAGCGAGAGAGAGAGAGAGAAAAAAAAGAAGAAAAGAAAGAAGGAAGGAAGGAAGGAAGAAGAAAGGAAAGAAAGGACTCCATCACACGTGTTGCAAGGGTATTTCCCATCTACCCCTTGGCTTTCAGATGCTTGTTTATACCAAGCCCAAGAACAGATAGATGAAAATCAAAACAGACCAAAAAGCCCGTAAACAACGCCAAACATACAAGTTTTGTAAGAGTAGTTAGTGTAGCGAATTGATAAGCCACAGAGAGCCCACTGTGTTCCGTAAACAGTGCTGAGATCTGCACCATTTGGGAAAATCCAAGTAAAAGCTGGCTTCTCTCGCCTTATGGGAAAATAAATTGCATATGAATCAACGACTTAAACACACACAAACAAAAATAACAAAACTTCTAGAAGATTTTTGTGGGGGGTGGGAAAGACCTTTTAAGCACAGCATATGGGGAGACATAAGGGAAGGGGCTGGCAATTTTAACTACACACAAAAAAGGTTTAAAGCTTTATGCCAAAAAGGAAAGTGGGTTTGGAATTTCCATGGCACAGGGTTCTCTGCGCATTGGAGTTGACCCACGGCCTGGGAGTTTTCTGGGTTCTGTTTCTCATGGGTGGTGGAGACTCAGCCATGAGTCCCGGGTCCCTGGGAGGACAACCCTGGGAAGTTCTGTGGGGCAGAGAGAGAGAGAGAGAGAGAGAGAGAGAGAGAGAGAGAGAGAGAGAGAGGAGAGAGAGAGAGGAGAGAGAGAGGAGAGAGA